TATTTGTAACGAGAGGTTAGAGGTTTAGACAGACTTGGCAGACTTTTTTTTCTATTGCTCCGGTGAACTGGTAAACTAGATTGAAAAAAAAACTAATTTTTGGCACTAGTTCACCAGTGCAGCAATGGAAAAGGAATCTCTCTCTCTCTCTCTCTCGATTATAATAAAGTTCAGTTTTCGTATTTTTACAAAAATTGTGTTTAGTCTTCAAAAATATGTGAAACTACAACAAACTCAACTACAGTTGAGTTAGTCAGATAAGAACTGCTTATCTCTCTTCGCAAATGTACTTATAAGATAAAGCGGTACAAAATTACGACGTATATCGTATACCATGGTTGAAAATTCTGTGCCGAAATGCCGAGTACAGAGTTGGTAATTTCGAATTTCACGTGACTCGGATCACAGCGATTTGGAAATCTCACGATACGATCCGGCTATCCTATAATTGTGCCGACACTTTTTCAAAATCACAAGCATACTGACAACTTCCGCGGGCGTGTAATCTGCCATCGTAAACTGAATCCATGGAGACCGACCGAAGTGTACCTAACCTTCAAACTCTTAAACAACATTTTGTACCGCGCATTCATAGCGAGGGCTGTTACCGAGTTAAGGGAAAGAATAGCAAACAGAAGAAAAAATATAATTTTATTTAAAGAAATAAAAGTTATCTCGAAATCTTGGAGACACTGCCACCCCCAGAGACCAAATTGATTCAAGATCAATCAATTTTTTTCAGGGGATGCATTGGCCACGTTCAGCAAGCACAACTGTTGAGTGAGCGCTCAATGATTTCTTAATATGACTGGCTGGATCTTAAAGTATCAACCAATCATACTGAGCGCTCACTCAACAATTGTGTCTACTGAACGTGACTATAATATGTATAAGAGCAGTAATATAATATAAAAATAATGTATTAATGACCAAATACAATTTCATAATAACAAATGTAGCGCATTCTAGCTTGTCACATAGTACATTTTGCTGCATCAAACTTCTAGGATTCTAACGAATCAACCTCTATCGAAAAGGTAATCGAAATCAATCTTTTCATAAAATTGTATACAACGTCCAACGTTTCGTAAACTTCTGTTTTATCAATTTTTCGTGTTCTTCAAATTTAGCAAATAATATACTTTTAAATCAATACAAAAATTATTACATACTTTGCACATAGTCATGCCGTTTTAACTTGTAAACTATCTGGTGTATTGCATCTACGTAATTGCTATAAAAATATTAAATATTTTAAAGTAAAAAATTGTATCGAAAGTGTACGCACATAAATAGATTATTTACACTATGCATCTCAAACATACTGAATGAACTTCTATTCTAAAAATTAGAGTGTCGTGCTGCAGAAAGTCGTTTACGTCGCGTACACTGATAAATTCTGTATAGCCAAAGCTACGTTTATTTAATTCGCACGTGGGTTTACGGAACGCCTCGAGATCTGGTTTCGACGACGTTATTTCGCATATATTTTTTCTCGAATCATGCGGATGCACCAATACAAAATACATTGTGCCATTGAACGGCCAGTCTAAAGCGTCGTCGTTTTCCGATTTCATAATATGTAAAACAAAAGACAGGTAATTGGGATCCTTGGACGACACATTAATTCTCGCGCAGATCTTATATCCGTTTGGACTCGTATAAAAACCCGGACTATAAAACATCTTTAGAGGGTCGTTGATCATAGCCTCGAGTTTTTCTTGGAAAGATTTCAGTCTCCATATGTAAACTCCATTGCAATTTCGTTGATACATAGCGGCGAGTTGATTCTTCTGATTAGACACCGTTATAGAGAGCTCTCGATTTTCCTGTTCCAAAACTACTATCCTCTCGTATAGATTTCTAGAAACAAAAAGTTACCAAAAACGTCCACATACACATACGTTTCAGCAAATGCAAACGCGGTATTTGTAAAATCATATTTAGTTTACTTGAGTAATTGTTGCCAATCGGGAGAAGGCTCTTCCTTGTCAGTAACCCCGTTTTTTAGAGGTGGATCCCATAATTTTGACTCCACGGACATTGCATTAGTGCTCCTTTGTACTGTCAGATAATTACAAGAATATACTAAAAGAACAATGAAATAATTTATATTTTTTGCATATTAATATAAGACATACCTTGAGGCTCTGGAAGTTCTTGTTTATAGGTGCATTGAGTGATATGCGTTTCCATATCTACTGGAGATAATTTTACTTGACAACCGAATTGCTGATAAATACAGCTTGTGCGTTTCTGAGATATTTCTCTAGTGGTGTACAGATCTGGGAAGAGGTTTTCGGACTTTAGAGGTTGACTATCGACTGGGCAGCAAGCACCTTCTTTCCTGATAGCACAACGCTCAGTTAACTTGTAGGCAACCACGAAATCTTAATTAAATGAGATAAAACTTACTTAAGCCAAGTATAAATGCACTGAGAACAAAACTTATGGCCACAGGATGTTAAAACTGGATCGCGCAGCCATGTTAGACAAATGGGACACTCGAATCTAGGCTCTACGTAACCTTTGACGCTCTCGTCACACTGTGTGCAACGAAATTGTAAATAGATTTACAAATGAACGATATACATTAGTATACACATTAGTATAAAAGTTAAAGCAGATGAAAACACGAAACTGTAACAGTTATTAGTTCTGTTATGTTTGACAACAGGCAAGTAATTCATTTCTCATTTGTCAAGTGAGCGTAGTCAATGAACAGGTATCGATGAAAAAAAATAATTTCCCCGTCTCTTATAAAATTGTAGAAACGTACGTTTTCACTTTCCTCGGCAATCTTGGCGGATTTTCCTGATTTATCTAACGTTTCCATAATCTACAACAAAATTAGTAATTAGTAAGAATATTCCTAAAGTCGCCAGCAGTAATTTAATAAATTAATAACATCGGTTTGTCGACCGTGTCTGGCAATTAAAATTCTTGCGAAAAATATTACCCCAGTCACGGATTGTAGGGAGGTCCCAGGTTCGAATCCTGGCTGGGGTAATATTTTTCGCAATAAGAATTTTAATTGCCAGACACGGTCGACAAACCGATGTTATTAATTTATAAAATTAGTAATCACTGAACTAGATAACGAATGTCCGTTGACTAATATTTGCACAACTATTACGTTTAAATTCGACGGACTGCTTCGTTTTATTGCACATATAAATTACGGAAACCCGAACTTTATCATCAACTTATTGCAAATTCCAGTATTCCACTGAAAATTTTTCAGATCAAATTCAGGCTGGGAACATTCTATACATCTGTTGATTTCCTGCATGAGTCAGGAACGATTTCCATTAGAAATTCATCAAAGCTTGTGTGAAACATTTGCAACACCATTTACTCCATAGACATACAAAATATAAGCGGGGAGCACACACTTTTGCATAAGTGCATAAGCATATGCACAACGAATTTGATTGGTCCATTCCCCTTGTGCATTTGCTTATAGACTAAAGCCCGCTGCAGACGATGCTATTTTTCCTGCTGGATTGCTTGCGATTTAGTAAATTACTATCATTGCACCACTCAGCATTCAGGATTCCTAGTAATTTACTAAATTGCAAGCAATCCAGCAGGAAAAATAGCATCGTCTGCAGCGGGCTTAATCT